TGCTCTCATGCCCAATGTGGCAGATGCCCTAGGAGCAGGGAGGTGTAGGTGGGGAGACCGCTCAGCCCCTTACCTGTCAGCCAGGTTCGGCCACATCCTGGCTGGACTGGACTTCCAAACAGAGCAGGCATGAGGAGAAATCTCTGTGTTTTTCTATGCCCAGTTCCAGGTCACGCCTGCTCAGTGGGGAGAGCTGTACACACTATCTGTCCAGAGCCTGTCCTGGCTCACAATGGGGACATGACCACAGCCCCTTGACAAAGCTCTAAGATCCTCTTGCCAGGGGCCTGAGCCTGCTGCGGAGCAGGCCCTGCAAAACCCACCTCCTAAGCTGAGCCACCTTGTGCTCAGGCCCAGATTAGTGCTTCAGCCTTATTTTGGGCACACTGTGGTAACAGCAGGAAGAGAGGGTCATGGACATATGAGCAGGAGATCTCCTAGCTCACCAGTGAGCCCAGACTCCACACTTCCCACAGCACCTTGGTCTCTCGGATGACTGATGAGCTGCCTTGGAAACACAACTGTGTGCAGTTGTGTGCAAACCTTGGGGACAGCAGCTGAAGGTCATCCTGCAGCAGGGCCAGTGAGGGGCTATAAGATGGCCCCCTCCCTTTCTTGTGCCAGCCCTGCTCAGCAGCCCAGAGAGCTCAATGTCCCCGCCCTGCCTCAACTTCACACCAGTGTGAGTGCCAAGTCACTCATCACATGGGTATCTGCCACCTGTGCCCATGACAAGGCCACCCTCCTCACCCCTTCACTCTCCCAGTTGGCCACCAACAGAAGTCAAGGTCCAGGAAGCCTTCCAATGCCCAGCTCACTCATCCAGTGACCTGTGGGTCCTGTAAGGCCACTCAGGGCTAGAGGAGAGGCCCAGTACAGGGGTAAGGATGTGCCTCGGTCACAGACCAGACATGGGCCCTGCCATGTGGGACTCTTATCTGGCAGAAGCAGACCATCCTGACGTCCACACCCAGTGCTGCCTGACCAGAGATTCCCAGAGGGGCAAGAAGCTTGGGTGGGTGAGGGTCAGGCCTGGGAACGACGAGGTGGATGCCGCCAGAAGGGTAGCAGTGGCATTTCTGCACAGAAAGGGGCTCTGGCCCAGGCTCTAGGATGCCCACTGGCCTAAGGTAGCCACATATGGCAGGGGGCACCACAAAAGGAGCCACAGGGGACTCTGGATTCCCTGCTCTAACTCAGTGAAGTCCCATCAAGGCCAGGGAGAACATGGCTGGCCCTGCAGCCTGCTGTCCAAGCCATGCAATGCACTAGGTCCCAAGAGGGTAAGTCCATGGGTAAGGAGTGCCATCTGGAGGGAGAAAGGGGTAGTGCAGGGATGAGGCACCTGGCCGCGAGGCCAACGTTAGCCACAGAGGCAAGCCAACATTTTCTAGTAGTCACACTTTAAAAAGTGCAGTAATAGATGAAATAAACATACAGTGTTGACATTTCAACCAACATCGATAAAAAATGTTAATATAGAAATGTTAATAATAGAAAATTACTGATGAGCTCAGTCACAACGTGTTTCCTATTTGGTCTCTGAAAGCTGGCATGCAGTTCACCCTTTCAGCATATTCCATTTGGATCAGCTGCATTTCAAGCACTCAGTTGCCCCTTGAAGCTTGTGGTCACCATACTGGATAGTGAGGGTCCTCAGAGTCATCACTTGCTGGGAGATTTGTTCCTTTAACATACATGTATTCATGTTCGTAGAACCTGTCTTCCTTTTCTGCCCTGTGGCCTTCCCAAGGGTAACTCAGTTCCTACCTTGCCTGAACCAAGACTCTTGTCCTTCCACCCTTCGGGCTAGCAAAGGTAGATCTGCCTCCATACAAACAAAGCGAAAGTCAGGTCAAGTCCCATTCTTTCCAACCAGGGTAAGACTACTGTACCTGGGGGCCAAATGGAAATCACTCACCCCAGGAGCAACACCAGCAGCACTGCTGGCCATTACTAAAGACCGCTGTTGCACCAGGCACTGGCACGAGTACTGATAGGCAGCGTATCGTCATGTGTTTACAAGGAGGAGAAATGGCCCAGGAAAGATGCCAAAAAACATGTTCAAGAAAAAAACCTGTAGGGCCGGGGATTTACCTCAGTGGTTCTGGCACCTGACTCGAAAACGCAAGGTCCCAAGTTCAATCCCTGATACAAAAAAAAAAAAAAAAAAAAAAAAAAAAAAAAAAAAAGAAAAAAACCTACAGGTTGCAGAACAATATAATCCCATTTTCATAAAATAAAAAAACCCAAACATTAACAGTATGCATGTCTAGAAGGATTTGGCAAGCTGTGCATGGAATTTATCTCTCTAGGGGGAAACTCTATTAGGTAGACATCACTTACTTTTTTTTTTGAAGTGCTGGGGGTGGAACCCAGGGTTTCAGCATACTAGGCAAGCCACATTCGCAGACCCTCCTACACTTTCCTTTAAATGTGATGCAGATAACTGGACTCTGAAAAGGGTTGACTCGGTGGCGTAGGGTAGCACAGCCTCCACATGCTCACCTGCTCATCTGGCAACTTCCCTACTGTGGGATGGGGACCTTCTTCAGATTCAGTCATCTAGTGGCATGTGTGAGCTTGGAACAAGGCTAATACAGGGGCACCTCACTTACACAGGCCGGGAAGTTTCCAAATGAGGACATTTAATCAAGAAAGTCACATTTTTTCCCTAACAAACCAGAAAAAGCCCTATGTACAAAATTTATAGGTCTTAGGCTTCACTTTCTACTCAGGAACACCACTGTGTTTTCAAATAAGGAGGCATCATTGTCACACTCAGAAGTCAGAGATGCACACTGAGCTCACACTGGCCTGGTCTCCAGGTGACTGCCATGGGGCAGAACTGTGCAAGAGTGAGGGGTGCCAAGTTCCAGTCCTCAGCATGGAGCTCCTTGCCTGGGAACAACAGCAAGATCAGGCTCTGCAACTCTGAGGCAAAGGTGAGACTAGGGGCCTTGCTGCCTTGCTACAGTCCGAATGTGCCCCCTCAAATTCAGGTCTTGGAAACTTAGTTCCCAATGCAACAGCAGGAGGAGGTGGAGCTTTAGGAAGGTGTTTGGTCATAAGGATTAATGCTATCATTAAAAGGGCTTCTCTCTTCTGCCATGAGAGGAAACAGCACTCTCCCTCTCTGGAGAACAGAGCAACTAGGTGCTACACTGGAACCAGAAAAAGAACCTGCTGGTGCCTTGATTTGGACTTCCTGGCCTCCAGAACTGTGAGAGAACATATTTCTCTTCTTTATAAATTACCCAGCTTAGGTACTGTTATAGCAGCACAGACAAAAACAGGACCCTGGGCTGGCCTCTCAGAGAGAATGTTTCTGGCTTGGCAATGGAGTCTTCCTCAATGACATAGGGCAGACATAACTAGGGAAGCCAGGAGACCACCCACTTTAGAGCCTGGGAAAGAAAGAAAGTCTGTAATTCAGGTGCACTGGAGCTTCAAAGGGGGCCTGCACTCTGAGAGGGTGCAGAAGATGACTAAAAGGGACTGAGTTTCCTGACCTCAGACCTGAGGTGCTCACTTACAACCCCAAAACCACAGGTGCCTCATCCTGGAGAGACCTCAGAGCAACACTCAGGCCTCTAATTAATTTTGACCTTGTCCAAGCAGATCACTGAGTTAAAATATGACTGATCTCCTCCCCATGCCCAAACCCAGCTCCCCTGGGTGACCATGTTTTAACCAAAAACCTGCAAAACTGTGCTTTCTCTGAAGGGTCACAATCAGATCCATCTAGCATAGGTAAGGCAATGCTCTGAAGTCTAAGACATTCTCAAGGGCCAAGTGAACTAAAGCCTGGGCAGCTTCACATACCCGAAAGTGTTGACCTGCAGCAGGTGCCCATGATGACCTGCTCAGAACTGGGCAGACTTCTGACCCAGCAAACAGAACTCAAGCTGTTTTTCCAGATGGAGGTCCCATTCCTGAGCATCCCTGACACCAATCTGTTGTCTCTAGGTTCTCTGCCTCTCATGGACTAGAGAAAGCAGAGCAAAAGGAAAAAGAGGGGGTGGGGATTTATCTCAGTGGCTCTGGTGCTTGCCTTGCAAATGCAAGGATCTGAATTCGATCCCTGGTACCAAAAAAAAAGGAAAAAGAGGATGGCTAGCAGGGGCCACCACCTATGACCTCTACCACAGTAAAGCCTCTGAGCACATTGCCACTCCCTGGAGCACACCCACTCGCTGGCAGACAGCACCTAAGACAGCTTTTATTTTTTTAATCTTTGCACTTCACACCTATTCACATCTGTTTCAAAACCCAGACCCTGTATCAAGACTTTGCCTTACAGTGGACATCAAGCCAGGAAGAAATGTGATTTCTGCTAGAAAGGTCAGTCAGACTCTTCCTTGGAAGTCAATTGTAGGCAAGGCAGTGAATGTTCATCCATATAACTGTATGTTATGGTTTAGAGCTAAATGCCTCCCAAATGCCTCACGTGTTTAGTGAGTGATTGGATCCTGCGGTCGCTGTACTCATCAGCAGATTCATCCACTGATGAGTTCACAGTTGAATGTGGTGTTAGGAGATGGGGCCTAGTTGGAAGAGGAGGTTCACTGGGAGCGGGGCCTGGAAGGGTGCATTCTCTGCTTTCTGACCACCATGCAGTGAACAGATTTCCTCCTCCAGGCCCTTCTACCATGCTTTTCTGCCTTGGGGCCAGCTGACCACGGACTGAAACTGTGAGCCAAAATAAACCTCTCATCTGTAGGAACTGCCTTCCTGCCTATGCGCAAAGTCAGCTCTTCCTTGCAATGCTGGCCATACAACAAAACAAAGCAACCTAAAAATTTAAAAATTAAAAAACCGTCTCTCTCAGGTTGTGGGTGTTGGGTGTTTTGTCCTGGCAATGAGAAAGTGACTAAGACACTGCTCATGTATTTGGAAAGAAAAGCCCCTTTTGTTTTGGAAATCACAAAAATTACAACACGACCTCCCCAGGACTCTATGGAGAAGAGCAGACAAATGACCCAGCCATGGGCACTGACCTGAACTTGCCGGTGCGCACCTGCAGTGCTCTCATTCCACACCGCTGGGCACCACCAACGTCACCCACAATATCATCCCCGATCATGATGGCCTGTCAGGGCAGTGAAATATGCTCAGAAGTGATGTCAGGAGAATATTATTGCTGTGCACCTTCATCTTTGGTGACATAATAAACTGCTTGATTTGATGTTTAAAACCACCATCACACAAATTTAAAAAGATAATATTGTCACTGTATTGATTAAAAGTCAACCCACCTTGAATATATCTCCTGCTGCCTCCTTGGGCTGTGGCTCTCAATGGTGTATATTTGCACACTTTGAAATCAATAAGCAGGCATCAAAATGATTTGGTGCACCAAGGACAAGTGGGGATGCTGATGCACCCAACCTTTACCTGCACTTTACCTAATGCTAAATACTCTGCAGCCTGGCGATTCTGCAAGCCCTTGGTTCTGTGAAAGCTGATTAAATCCCTGGCAAATCTTTCTAATCTACAGTTTAAAAGGTTTTGCTTTCAATAGTGAAGATATTATGTGTCAAAACCAAAACAATATACAACAGCAAAATATACACAGAGGAAATGCTCACAGTCTGGATATCATTTCAAAAGCAGCCTCAAGGGGCTGGGGATTTAGCTCAGTGGTTCCGGCACCTGCCTCGCAAGCACAAGGTCCCAAATTAGATCCTTGGTACCAAAAAAAAAAAAAAAAAGCAGAATCAAGATAGACTCCCCCGGTTGAAGCAACCAGAAACCAGACAAACTCTTACCAACTGATAGTTTTCAAGACATCAAGCAAGGGTGGACAGTGATTTCTGTGACATAGGAGAGGGGAGCCTTGGGATTGGTCCAGCTTATTGCCTTCAGTTTCCAGACAGCAGATAAAGGAGGATGCTATACACTGAGACACGTCCCTTGAAGTCATACATTGAAGCTCTAGCCTCCAATGTGACTGCATTTGGAGATTGGGACTCTAAGGAGGTAGTTAAGATTGCAAAGAGGTCATAAGAGTGGGGCCCGGACCCAATGGGACTGGGGGGTCCTTGTTAGAGGAAGGAGATGCCATTGCTTTCTCCACATGAGCACAGAGGAAAAACCACAAGTAAGAAGGCAGCCACTACAGTCTGGATATAGTTTATTTCCCAAAGAGCTTGTGTGCTGGAAGCTTGGGCCCCCACATAGTGGTGTTGAAATGGTAGAATCTATAAGAGGTGGGGAGAAGTGCTGGGTCATGGGCGTTCCACCCTCAGAAGGGATTGATGCTGCTTTCATGGCTTAAGTTAGGGAGAGAGCTGATAGTTGTACAGCAAGACTACTCCAAAGCACTTGGCCCCTTCCATACACAGCTGCTTCTCCATTGCACTGTGACACAGCCACAGCACCCTCATCAGAGGCTGAACAGATGGGGCTGCCAAATTTTGGACTTGCAGTCTCCAAAATGGTGACCTACAAAGCTTCTTTATAAAGTGGCCATGTCTGGTATTCTGTTACAGCAATACAAAACTGACTAAGACAACCACCCTCTACAAGCCACAAACAGTACCCTCACCAGAAAATGAATCTGTTGACACCTTGATCTCAGAATTCTAGCCCCTACAACTATAAGAATGTAAATTTCTGCCGTTTACCTTAACCTATTATTTTCTTAGTCATTATGAGCTGACTAATATAGAGGGAAACCCTGGGTGAAGCCTAGCAGTAGTACTGGTTAGCTTTTCACTGCTAGGTCAAAATACCCAGTATACCTTCAAGCCAGACTTCTGGCTCACAGTTTCAGAGGATTCAGTCTATGCTTGGCTGAGTACAAGGGAGACACATTATAGCAGAGGAAAGCTACTCACCTCATACCAGTCAGGAAGCAGTAAGATAGAGATAGAGCCAGAGAGAGAGAGGAAGGGGCTGGCTGGCGACAGGATAGACCCTTCAAAAGCACACCTCCAGTGACCTGCTTCCTCCAACTGGAGACCACCTCCTAACAGTCATTCAGCTATGAACTCATCAATGGATTAATCCACTGACAAAGCGCCCTCGTGATCCAGTCACCTCTTGAGGCCTCACCTCTGAATACTGCAGCATTGGGGATTAAGACCTCAATAGAGAAGTCTTTGAGGGAATACTTCATATCTAAACCATAATGCCCCCCAAATTGAGGCAGTGAAGCCAGGATTCTGGGGAGACGAAGGCTCATGAGTCCATAGGACAGAGGGTCAGATAGAATTGCACAGAGAAAACTGTAGGGGTACACAGAAAGCCCCCTCAGGTACCCAGTAAACTAATGATCAACACACTTGAGTAAGGAAATGCCCAAGGCCTGGGAAAGAAGCACACAGAAACAATGAAAGAAATCAGGCCTAGACCTCACACAGGGTTGAACCTGTCCTCACCACCCAGACTGGAAAATTTTATAATTCACAGAACCATCCTGCTTCACTGGTAGGGAGTAATTAATCCTAGACTAAAGCCTATTCTGGTGCTGCCTCCAGTCTGAAAAAGCAAGATCTAGAAGGATCAAACTATTTTCAAGTAATTTAGTGGTATTCCAGAACAAAACTCAAATATATTTGTGGTCATATAAAAATATCTAACAGCTGAAAAGATAAAATTCACAATCACATTCAATAAAAAAATTATCAGACATGCAACAAAGAACATTATAACAACAAAGGAGAAAAAAAATCTATCAATCAAAACTAATCCTGAACTGACACAGATCTGAGACTTAGCAGATAAGAGGATTAAATCAGTTCTTATAACTGTACTCTGTTTGTTCATTCCAAAAATTAAATAGAGAAATGGAAGATAGAAGAAAAAGATCCAAAGCTTCTAGAGGTGAAACTATACTGTCAAGATTCAAAAATATAGATGAGATGAATGCCAGAGTAGACATTGTAGAGGAAAAGACTAATAAAATTTAAAATACAATAATAGAAACTATCCAAAATGAAACAGAGAGAAGAAAAAATTTTTTAAATAGAGCATCAGTAAACTATGGTACAACTTCAAGGGACCTAGTATATATGTTAACTGGAGTCCCTGAAAGTGAGATGAGAGAGGAGATAAAGACATTTGAAGAAATAATAGCTGAAAATTTTCAAAACTCAACAAAAATTATAAATCCATAGATCCAAAATCTTAATGAACACCTGGCATAAGAAACATGAAAAAACCTTATCAAGGCATATGACAGTCAAATTGCTCAAAGTGGGTGACAAGCCAGGCACAGTGATGCTGCCTGTAATCCCAGCTACTTGGGAGGCTAAAGCTGGAGTACTGAGAGATCCAGTCTTGCCTGGG